AATTCTTCCATACGCACAGCTCAGGCTGCAGCCCGGGCAGGAGCTCAGAGCCCTTCCACCTCCACCGGCACGGCCGGCGACGAGCGCCCACGCTGCCCCTTCCCCACCTTCTGCCCTGCTGCGGTGGAAACCTGGGGCCACAAAGCGCAGCCCCGGGGGCTGGGGACCTCTGGCAAATGCAGTCTGGATTTGCACTTCAGAAAGCTGCAGACTGTCGCTGCCTAGCATACAAAGCACCAGTAACTTTTTTTTTTTTTCCCTGCTAGTTAACTTTGTCCCTGCTCCAAAGAGCCGCTTCTCTTCCCAAGATAAGGTGCCGAGTCCTGCTCTGAACAAAGGTAACTTCCACACCTTCATTTACAGCAGCGATAGCTGAAACCGCTGGGGACGAGGAATAAATGCCCTTTTCTGAACTGGGGGCTTGAGAGCCCCAAAGCCCCTTGCTTTCAAAGATAACTTTATTCCGAAGCCAGGATGGCACCTGGCACAACAGAACCACCACTCAGGACCATCTCTTTCCACCACCACGGCTTTCCAGCACATCATCCACCTGCCCTTCCCTACCCTCCTCTTCACCCCAGCTCCCTCCGCACACCAGGCTGCCCACTGTTTTGGGACCCTCATCCCTCTGCCCTCCCCCCAGAACAACGCATCACGCATCGTCCTAAAAAGCTGGCTCAAGCATCACCCAAAAAGCTCACATTGGGTACAACCCTGAATCCACGTGTGGAGGGAAGAAAAGGTGTCAGAAGATGCTGGCTGGGGCAGCGGAAGAGGTGTAAGGTGCTCCAGCTTGGACCTCCTCAAAATAAAGTTATTTTCAACCTGGGTCACCTCCGCGGCCAGCACCGATCAGGGCGCAGCTCCGCAGCCACAGCGACAAGCGAGGAGGTAGCGGGACAAGGCCACCAATGTCAGTGGCTCTGTGGCCACCAAGGGCAGCGGCTCTGTGGCCACCAAGGGCAGCATCGCACGGACGTGGCACGCGCCCCAAGGAGGTGACACTGCAGCTGCAGCGCTCAAAGACGAAGACGCACCCTGAGATTTCCCACGCAGCCCTTCCCTTATCACTGATGTTCCGTCTCACACTTCTGCACATCTCGCCTTTCCTGTCAAGGTATTTAAAGTGAGCTGGTTTAAACCCAAGCTATTTTCCTAGGGGAAAAGGCTGCACGCTGCCCAGAACAGCCCCTGCCAAGCAGAGCCGGTGTCTCCGTGCTCCTCCTCCTCCTCTCCCTCAAGCCTCTCAACAGCAGCGCCGAGTGCTGTGCCGGGCTTGTCATCCCTTTAACCAATGCAACAGCAATAAAATGCGCATAAATCCTGAACAACGCAAGCTCTCACGCAGACTTCAAAGAGGTAAGGGCATTAGCCATTGCCAGAGCATTAAATTTTCATTGCATTTACATCAGGAACTGGATGTTGCCTCACCATGTCACGTCCTTTGCAGCGCTGGCTTTGGCTGATAACTGCAAGCTCTGGAATGGAAATAGAGAGATGGAAAAAACCTGGCACTGCCTTTGGCAGATGGCTATTTGACTCTCGCAAAAAAATCAACGTGCAGTCGCATTGCTATTGCGAGCAAAGCCCAGAAGTTCAAACGAAAGAGGAGGAAAGACCACGTCTGATTAACCCAGGGAGCTGTCAGGCTCGGCTCCTTCCCAGCCCCGACCTCCGCATCCTTTCCCGTGCATGCTGCATTTGTCCTCCCTGCCCAGGGGAAAGCCCCCGTCAGTGCCGCTCCTGCTGTCCCTACCCTCCCCAAAATGCTTCCCTCCTCCCTGCCCCGGCAAAGGAGAGCAAAACCAGATGGTACAACGAGGTTAAAATTTGCTGCTGACGGGTCAGCGGCTCGGGCTTGCAGCAACGTTGCGATCCCCACCAACCCTTTGTGTTTTCCCCTCCTCTGATCTGCCCACAATTGAAGACAGATTTGCAAACAGGCTCAGAAAGAAGAAAACTGCCAGCCAGACTTTCTTCCATCACCCCACGGCCAAGGACAGTCACTGGATTCTGGATTTTACCTCGGGGCAGTAACTTCCGCCTATGAAGCCCTCACACAGTGCCAAAAGGGGGATTAACACAGGTTTGGCTGGTGGCCAGCCAAAGCACTCAATATCAAGAAGAAGAACGATATTGCTCTAGTTTTTCTGGATAAAAAAAGTTGGTGATAGGTTTTAGGGTATCTGCTTATTCCTGAGCTGGGCTGTACGGCTGGAAGGAGATGTGAGGACCTGCAGCCCTCTGGTCTGAAAGCAGTAAATTGGCCAGGCAAGAGGCTGATATTCCTGTGACTGCAGGAGGGGAGAAGCCACGCAGGGACCCCCCCAGGCACAGCCCAGGAGCCCCAGAAAAAGGCAACCAGGAGGAGGGGAGGGGGGGAATCAGATCCCAGCTGCAGGTGTCGTCCCCCTCTCCCCATCTCCTGCAGCAGCCAAATCTCAAACCTTCATCAGGAGCAGAGCCCGAGCCGCTCACCGACCCGCAGCGGGGACGTCAGGGATGCTCAGGCCACTTGTGCTACCCAGGGGATCGATGGAAACCAGGCCAGCGTGAGCGTTATGGAGGAGACAGCCAAAATTACAGCGCGTGCATGCAAAACCACGCCTCGGAGCTCGAGGAGATCTTCCAGAGATCATAACCCAGCTGCAAGCACCCAGGCAGGGTGCACCAACCCGGGCAGAGGAGCCACCCTCACCGCTTCCACCGAGCTGGGTGCTGCCAACGCTTCCCCCCCAGCCTTCCCTCATACCAGGAAGGCTGGCACATTGCAGGGCAACGCGTTTTCAGCCTAATATCATATAGTTTTATTTCTCTGGCTATACGCAGGAGCTGGGCTACCCTGGCAGGTCTCTAAAAGCTGCAATTTGACATAAATTAGAAATGAGCACGGTAGTTTCAAATTAATAATTTACAAGACGAACCTGCTCTCTTTTCGCTGCTTACGGCATCACCGAGGACAGCCCCTCGTTTCCTGGCACGTACCCGTGCTTTGCAACGCCCCAACGACGTCGCGCCGAGGCTGGTTTCCAAACGGCTCCCCTATCCCACAGCATCGGTCTTGGCAGCATTTAGAATCGCCTGAGCCCCATCATCCTCCTCTCCCACGGGCCGATGCCCTGAGCCAGCAGCTCTGCAGTCCGGACCGAAGGGAAGGTGGACCTGGACTGTGCCCAGTTTAGCTTCTCCTTTGGGAACTGCCTCCAGTTCTGTAACCAGCAGAGCTTAACTTTTTGCTACAGCAAACCCCGTCATTTAGAAGTGGAGGCTTATCTTGTGGTTAGAAGGGGCTCAGGGGACACCAGCCCCCTCACTTCCAGGAGAACAGAGTTTCCCCAAACACTGATGTCACGGACACAGCCAGGGAAGCATTTACAGCCACGGGGCAGCATGGTGGTGCCTGAAGCGAGACTGTTTCTCCACAAGCCGCGGGCGTTGTTTTGGAGGCTGATGCAAACGCCCAAGATCCGTGCCACAAGAGCCGGTGCTGGCCATCCCCCACACCACGTGGGGAGGAGCAGACAAGGCCCTGGCGACTCACAAACCCAGGAAAATGCCATCTTCTTACACTAAGCTTCCCCAAGCGTTGCTGTCATCTGGGTGGGCCCCTTACGAAGAGCAAAGGCACGCATTTTTCCTGGTTTTGGTCTAATTGCTCTTATTTCATACATCTTTCATCCGCAGAGACGCACAATTGTTTTGCTGCTTCAGCGTTAACTATTTGGATTTTGTATTCTTTGACAAGCCCGTGTTTCTGCCGGGTGACAGTAGTATTCAATATATGCACTCCATATATGCTAACTGGGTTTTAAATATAGGTATCGTGGCAATTATGCCTGCGAGGATGACCGCTGCAAACGAGAGCGTGGGCTGACTGTGCAGAACTGCAGAGGACCCACAGGACGGAGGGGCTGCGCAATAAAATGCAGACGAAGTTCAATGCAGAAGGCAACAGCCCCGGGGACTCCACTTAATGCTGACCACTACCCGTCTGAGCAAGGCGTCGGGGGCCTGGTAGGCTGCTCTAAGATCTGGGATAAACACTCTGGGCAACCTCAACCCCTCAGGCCTTCCCAAAACATAAACCACAAACATTAGGCACTAGAAGAGCAGCAGCAGAGAACAAAATGGAAAATTACACAGCTATACAAGGTCATGGTGTTCCCACAGCTTGAGTACTGCCTAAGCTTGGTCCTCTTACCACAAAGACGGAGATATAAATTAATGCATCTCTTCGGAAAGAGCTGCATTATTTTGCTGTAACTGAGGATCCAACCAACTATGCTGTGAGCTAAATTAAGTAAGAGTTTTTCATTTTATATTTTCAAGTTCTGCAGAGGGTCTGTCAGACATCGACACTTGCTGAAACGATTCAAACCAAGCTCTCATAGGAGTAGGTGAGCAGGAGATCATCAACACCCACCTGGACTGTGGCATGAACAGCCTCGGGCACCTGATACTTCAGCTCGTTAGCAGTTTGCTGAGATTTTGGCAACAGGAATGGGTAGGACAGGGACCGGTACTTGGGCTTCATAATCTGCCCGGGGGGGAAAAAAAAAAAATCCTTGAAGAGATTGCAACGTAGCAGAATAACATTAAAAAAAAATAATAAGACGCCTGCCGAGGGAGGGCATGTGAGTGAGGCAGGGTCTGTATTTATTTCCGCGCCCCCAGCAGCGATGCCCGCACCCCACCTTGGTGAAGTTCCAGCGCTGGATGAAGTGTCGGGCGACGTCACGCGCAGCTTTGCCGTGCACCACGGAGGAGATGTCATGCCAGGGCATCCTCGGGGTGGTGTATCTGTCAATGAAGTCTGCGGGACAGGAAAGCACGTTTGGGCCTCCTCAGACAAAGGACATGAACGTGGAAAAGCATGGCGTTCCCCTCCTCAAACAGAAGTTTCTGGGACATGACACCGAGGGCTGTGTGGGTGAATTTAGACTTAACATGCAATTGCTGGCAGCCCCACTCCATGGACCGCACCAGCATAATTGGCCCTAGAACCTCTCAAAGGGAGCTTTGCTGCCTCCTCCTAGCAGCCAAACTGACATAACCTCATTACCTCTGGCTCAGAAGCAGGAAAAAATACAGTTTGAGACTGAGAAGATGCAGAACAGGGTTTGGGGGAAAGTAAGGACTTCCAGGGTACAAAGGCACCTACCAGCAAAAGGTTTGTCAAGTTGAACCCAGTCTTTAAAGACGAAGTTGCAATAGTCTTTCCCGTGCCAGAATCTGGTTTCCCCAAGCAGCTCGCCAACGCCCGTCTTCAAGCTGCGGATGGATCCTTTATCTGTCACAGGTAAACAAGATAACAAAAGATAACAAAAGATAACAAAACCAGACGCTCCAAAGTCACAGCTGTCCATGGCACAGCACCGGCGAGAGACTCGCTGCCAGGGAGAAGCATTGGTGGGACGTGCCCATCCCAGCTGGCTGAAGCGGTTTTCTCCCTAGCCTTTCTGTTTCTTTCAAAGGATGCATATTAGTATTTTTTCTTCCCCATTTTAATATTTGTTATACAATCAGGACAGGTTATATATAGGAGTCCGCTACAGAAACAAAAAGCAGATGCTGAATTCTCTCTACACGGGACTAAAACATCACCCTATAATCATTTGTCTTTCCACAGGCCTATGACACCTAAACATTACCACGTGGCAGTCCGCTCCCAGCTGCAGCTGACCTTAGTGGTATGTACAGGGCACCACGTATGTCATCTACTTAATATATTTTACAACACTAAGGAACTAATTCCAACTTCTCTGCTAGAGGGTTGATGATTTTGCCTCTCTAGCAGGGTGTATCTCCTCTCGCAGAAGCGAGTCTTTATTAACTAGAATGAGATGATTAAAATGTTCCCTCATTAAGTATTGTGGGGTTTGTTTTATTTTGTTTTTCCAAACAGCAATGTCATCTTTTGATATAGTTTTACACAGTGAACAAATGGACCCCGAATTCCAAATTAATGGCGATTAAAATGGTCTGAAGTATCATAGACGGGAATATTCCCTCCTAAGAGGATCCCTTTTCTAGAGCGTGTATTTTGGTGCAGAGTGAACTCTTTCCTCAGTGTTAAGAAAACCAGAACTGTTGGCCTAGACCATGAATGCTAACCAGGTTACTTCCTGACCCTGAGAGCAGCCTTCATCTACTGTACCAAATACTAATGCAGTAATTACACAGTAACAGGCCAACAGCAGAAGCCTTCTCCTAACCCAACCACATCGCCAGGTAACCACAAAAACCCCTTAGTACAAAAACCCCCTTTCAACAGTCAACAAAATACACCTGGGCAGCAGCGCGACAAGATGGGTTGACACAAAAGCAAGCCCTGCCGGCACTGCTGTAACCCCACCGAGCCGAGCTGAGCCAAGCCATGCCAAAAATGCCGTGCAGCAGGCATGCACCACCATGGGCTTGGGAAGCATGAGCGTGTAGTGAGAGTCCAGGTGGAGCTGGAGAATCGCCAACTCTGTGTGCTCGAATGGGAATGGGTGGGACACGCTCTCCGGCCAAAACACACTTCACGTACCGGAGCTTGGATGACTGCACACCGACTCATGAATGAGCATGAGGTGACCACAGGGGAGACCACACTTCATTTCCATGAAGCAAATGCATCTCTTCCTTGTTACCTGCCACTACTTTGTAACCAATATTTTATAATTGGCAATTAGTGCCTTAGGGGAAGACGTTAGCAAGAGGAAGATGTTGAAGAACTGCTCCTCACCCCATACCAGAACTCAAAGGCATCTTGGTGAGGTACCATACTGCGAGGCCCTTTCAGCATCGGTCCGGAGATCACAAGAGCTCAGTGCTCATTACCACCCAACTCCTTTCTCAATCGAGTACGCTTACATTGATTTCAATGAGGAGCAAAAAAGGGGGGCCCCAACTTTTAATCTGAACATAGGTCTGGCAGCAGCCACTTCGCCGTTTCCTCTCTCTGTTTATGTGCCTCCCTACATCAGGCTTACTTTAAAGTATCCAGTGCAGAAGTTCCCAATTCCAGTAATAAGCCCCTTTGCAGGATGAGAGGTGCCGAAATCATCATATACCAGAATGAGAGCCATTTCCTCAACTGTTCCCTGTTGCTGTTATTGCAAATTTTTGGGGGTTTTTGATTTTGGGGTTGGGTGTTTTTTTATTTTTCTTTAATTATTATTTATTTACGCTGCAGGTTTTGTGGCTTCTGGAGAAGGCTCTTCTGCCAGGATGCCCTCAGAGGGGCGCTGAGGAGTTGGGAGAACAACAAGCAGCAAAGGCCGATCCTGGCACCCAACCTAACTCTCACCATTGTCACAATGCAAAAAAAACCATCAGCAGCTAAAGCCTGAAGGGGTCTGCACCTCTGCCTTCCTCCACTTACCCTTCTGAGGCTCAGCGAGCCCCTCTTTGGATTCACTGTGGTGACGGAACACTTTCAGATGGGGCTTTAAACTCTGGATTATATTCGGCTGACTTCTAGTGGGGTTACAGTAACCTGCAGAGAGTCAAGACGCTCTGTTTATGGCAAACACGCACGTCCACTTCTGCTCCACCGGTGCCTGACCCTGCCTGAAGACACCATGCGTGCCACCGAGCGAGACGCCAGTTTGCTGGAACTACAAATAACCAATAACGTGCAAAGGACCAAACTGAAGTCCCGGCTCATTTTCAACCAAACAGATATATTGAAGTAGCAAAGCCATGTCTATCTCCTGAGCTGACTGCAACCAACGCAGACGATGCTCCAGCAAGGCTTCTGCCGGCCAGAGGTGGGAGTAAGATCTGCAGGGAGTGATGGAAACTCAAATAAACAATGTAGAGCTTCATGGGCTGAGGACATCAGAAACAGATCTCAGGAAGGACTCCGTGCTAGAACAAATGTCAAACCCATCCTTGTAATTTTAGCTGTGAAGCTGTTTTTAACGTGAGGAAGTAAAAGGTGCATTCAAATATCCAGCTGTTGGATAGTCTCTCCTCTCTAGCAAAGTGGGTAAATTGGGAATATTTCCATTTAAGTGAACTGATTTAAACCTAGGTAACACTGGCCGACAAGAGGGGATAATCACAGTCAGAAACCGTTTTGCTTGCTATTATAAATACGAGTCAAAAAATGAAAAGATTCAGTTCTCCCTTGCAGGAACAAAAAATTTTCCAACAATCTAAACATTTGGGAACACGTACAGGGTATCGCGTCACCTGATGGCTCATGACAATTGCTAATTAACTCAATCCAAATCCACTTAAAACTTTTCTTGCCTGTTTTGCAGCGACACAGATTTACATATTGACTACGCATCGTTATTATCCTGATAGTTAAGAAATTCATCAACTCGCCTGACAAAGAACACATTACCCTAGAAATCATGTGAATCTGCGCAAACACCCACCCACCCGCCACCACGCACACTTCATCCATGTTGTTTAGTTGAAAAACATTACTTACTTGATTCACTGTCTATGCTGCTGACACTGTCAGCGTGGTGCATGCCGTGCCTGTGGAGATGCTTGTAAATACTGAACCTTGAAAATTTTTTGGGTTTTCCTACTCCTTTCATTTTCGGTATGTCTGGGGCGTCTTCTGCGTTCCTCTGGAACAAGTGGCTCTCTGGGGACAGAGCTTCAGACTGCAGGGGGATGCATTCAGACGACTCCGCTGCAGACTTAAAAGACAAAGGAGGTTGCTGCAGGTGATGGCCGGACAGGTTCCCCTTTCATTACAGATCTATGCTCAGAAAGAACCACAAGCCAAACTTTGCTCCGTGACAAAGACACGGTGGGAACTATGAATGGTTTTGAGGTAGAGATTCTGTACTGAGGAAACACTCAACAGAAAAAGCACATTAATGCTAGCAGTACATTCTTCAGTCCCATAAGTTTACTCTGCCTTATTACTCCCCTTGAAATTCTCATAAATTTAGACCTCTTAAATTTTTTAGAGCTCTCTGGATGTGTACAGACCCACGTTAGCAGAAAGCTCGGCAAGCAAGGCACCTGCTGAGGGCCAGCATATCCAGAAGTTAGGAGCACTCCGGGAGCGCCTGCTGTGCATTTCTAGCTAAGTTTTATTAAGAACTTAGCCTCCAAATTGTGACTGCTGCTACAAGCTCCAGGGGCAACCCAGCTGTCTATCTCCATGCCCTAGCAAGGGCTGGTCAGGATCTACCCTAAAGAGTCATTCAATATGCAGATGCTTCTGCCTTCCCATTACTATTCCTCTTTAAACCTCCTAAACCCAGCCCTACACTTAGAAGTGGACATGGCTTGCTCATCCCCACCACAGACCTGACACGTGGATGTTGAAGGTGGGCACCAGCTGGAGCAAGGTTACTTACGGCCAGGTTGGTCGTCGACACCGACTTCACTGCCACCATTCGTTTGACACTGCCCACGTCGGTCAGGCGATGCTCATCATCATCCCACCTGCCGTACGCCAAGTCGATGCCACCCACAAATGCCACGGACTGGTCAACGATGACGAGCTTCTCGTGGTGGGCCCAGAGGTACACGGAGGAGGACACGTGGTCTGGGTGTCTCATCACCTGGGGAAAGAACCAGCAATTGAGCCCAGTGTCGCTGCCCAATTTACAACCTTCCAGCCAGAGAGCTGCCCAGAGGGGGTTTTTTTGGCTGCTTAGGATGATGGGGAAGCACCAGAGTTTTTAAGATGCCTCTGCACAGACTGCTGTAACTACTGAAGCTACATGACTCTCCCCAAGTTAGGCTCAGCCTTACTGGCAAGGCAGGTCCTTCCCCAGGATGCAGGTATTCCCAAGCAGCGATGGTTACTGATTGATGTTGGGATCACCAATTGTGTTCATAAGAGGACTATATTCAAAGCCACTTTCAACAAGTAAAATCATGCTTTCAGCAGAGCTATAAGAGCTGAGCTTTCAAACACAGAGTCTGCTCTAAAAGAAAACAACATATTGGTGATCTGACTCACTGCTTTGGTTGTTGCCACTACATAAGTGAAATGAGAACTTGGCTGGTTTTTTCCCCAATTTAAAATCAGCAAATTGTTTGACATTTGTTTACGAGATTCTTTTTGACATGTGTTTGTGGCAAAGTAATTTCTATATCTAAGCATTCAAGTATACAGTTTAATTTTTTATTTTTTTATGTTAGAGGAGAGCCATTAGACCAGCTTCCTGGGGAAAGAGCTAGAGAGCTTCACCTGGCTGCTCCCAAAACCTGTTACGCACATAGCGCTTATCTTCCAGTTACACCTTCCAGCCTTGCTGCAAAGAGGATGGTGAATGGATGCTTCCCTTTGCCGTGACAACTGGTCAAGTGACAATAAATCTATCATTCTAGCAGTTTGTTAGTCACCCTCGTGCATAACATATACCTTATTCCTCATTAAAATGTACATCTCTAATTTCAAGAGACTGGATCTGGCCTTATCTACTGGTTCGTCTGCCACAGTTCATTTTCTGCTCGGTGGCAGAGCAACGGCGAAACAGCAGAGGACAGCGCGGTGCTGTTCATTTACGACGGAAACGTAAACATGCGGTGTTGACTCTCGCCATCTACGTATGAGCAGAAATGCTGAAACGAGACAACGTTCTCCAACTGTAATTTTCCATTTGATGTAACCCCATTAACTTGTCACATGAAATATGTTTCCTGTGAATTAGATGAATAGTTGCTTTGGCAAGGCTAAACCAAGCAATTTTATGTTCAATTATAACCTAAAGAAATGAAGCTGCCAGATGTGGCAATTGCCCTATGGGTATGTCTTCTCTGACTATTTCCACTGTAATGGTGGGAAACGCTGTTCTTCCAGTTCACACCCAAATACAGCGAGGGTCAACACCAGCTATCGAGAGCAAATGAATGCAAACGTCCTTCATGCGACCGCCTCACGCGCCATTACCTTAATGTTTGGATGGAGGTGCATGAGCGTCCGCTTGCTATATTCACTGTTGATCCCTAGGGCAAGCTCCACCTCTTTGTACAGCATAACAAAAATTCTCACTCCTTGTTGCTGTCAGAAATAAAAAAGAAACACACGGTATGAAGGTATTTCAATGGATACAGTCCATTTCTGAAGTGAAGTGAAGAAAAGCAAAGAGGCAGTAGGCATGTCGTGTCTGCAGCCAAATGCAGGCTGAGGTCACTTGTTCTTGATTATGCTCTTCCAGATCCACCACGGTGACCCCACAGCGTGCAAGGCCCCACACTGCTCAGGAAAGCTCTTCAGCTTCCAGAGAAGGGCTCAGTTCCTGGATTTGTGTGTGAAGAGCTGAGCTACGCCAAAGCCCATCAACAGCTCATTCTCACAGTACCCATCCTTTGAGGTGAAATTTTGCAGATGTGATTCGCTCCACTTACAATAACATTGCAGACATTCACGGAAGATCCGTTTTCTGTTGCATGTTGCCCTGAGGTTTGCCTACAGTGACAAGAATCTGCAGGACAACGATACCAGTGTGGTCATACAGACATCCCTCTCCTACAGGGGATGCAACCAACCCAACGCCACCAAACCAGCTCTTTCTGCTGGTAGAGCTAAACAAGCTCCTGGAATAGAATAAGCAGAGCCCAAAGGATGGTGCTTTTCTTAAGTGAAACATTACCCATGCTAGGGTGTCTGAGGACACTTGTTAAAGCACTTTCCAAGCTGCCAAGTACTTCATA